TTCCTAAGTATTCCTCTTGGTATCTTATCTAATTATGAGTATGTATTATAATTTATACACCTTTAAACAAAAGTGAGAGCTTTTATACTCCCATTTAGTAATTGTAGTGAAGTGATGACCTTGTCATTTTATTTATTTTATTTTTTAAGCCTCAGAGCACTTGACAGGAGGGGAGGGATTCAGATACAGGAATCTGTGATTAAAAGATTTGACAGTGATTTTTAATGGTGGTTTGGGACCTGATAAAAGGACTGGAAACTCTGATTATAGTGGCTATTCTCACATATAAATGGTATAACATCTTCTTCTGAAATGTTTCCTTATATCTAAAGGCATTTTCACATGTCATGTTGAGGTAATCTTTGGTTAGTGAACACACCTTCAGTAGGGAACTCTGGCTGATTTGGGCTGCCTTAGAAGTATATTAGAATGCTATAGATCTTTGGAAATACACAGCTGGTCTCTTTCATACACAACATTTTTTAAATTGAGGCCTAAAAACTAAAGTTACTTAAATCTAATATTGGTTAGAGGTTGCCATTTACTTTTTCTGATTCTCCCTTGTGTGTTTGTGGTACATACGAACACTGGAGTTTTATACATTACTTGCTCTTTCTCTCAGGAAGTAGAATTTATGAAATACATAATGAATACAATTACACAAAGTGATCTCTCATCATTATACCTGAAACTCAAATAAGTTTGCCTCTCATCCATAATATGCAGTGGGTAGAATTTCTGATGGACAAAAATCCTTCCTTGCAGAGTTCCTCCCATTCCTAAATCTTCAATCTCAACAATATCCAATATTGCATGAACTTATCTGAACAATCATTTTATAGTAACCAGATCCATAATGATAATAAGAGCAAATTTAGGTTGGTTTTAACTAATCTTGAGCCTCATTCATTTTATAAAAGATTTACCAGTTTTATCTAAGAGTGTGATAAAACTTCCAAATTTTATTTTTTACTAACCTTCAGAAAGATACCCTTTAAAGAGAAGCAGAGTCTTTAAAAAGTGGAAAAATGAAGGTGAGGCAGGAAAATAACTTGAGGAATAGAGCTTCTTTAGATCAATCATAGAACTAGTTAGAAGATTAAAGACCATCTGCTTTTTTTGCTGTAATTTCTAATGCTAGAGTAGTATGGAATTGTCAAGTCCCAGACTCCAACTTGCTTTCTTTCATCTTATGACACTAGTTGGCTTTTTTGAAAAAAACAAACCTATGCCCCCTGTTTTCTGGAATATTAAAAAGTGAGCATAATATATCTTTAGAAATTTGATTAGGATGTCTCTACTGAACCAGAGAAGAGCTCTCCTTGATTAAAGCAAAAATCTTGTTGCTCACACAGGATAAGCAGAAGACAATATTGATGATTAGGGGCAGGCAACTGGTAAGACATGAATGTCCCAAGAATAACTGTGCAGAGATCTAGAGTGGTGAGTTTGGATGAAGTCAAGCTTGGTTAACATTGGGAGACCAATGTGCTATATGAGGGTTACAAGACAATGTCAAGGCTGTTTGTTCAATTCTAGAGGCTTTTGAAAAGCCAATAAAAATTCCCCTCTGGATGGAGTTTCCATAGTGTTAAAACAAAGAGACTCCACAATATTATATTGATATGACATCATCATTTATCTAATATGACTAAACCACCAACTACTCAAGGAAGAATGTTTATACTATACACTGCCCCCTCCATCCCCCTCTCTAAAACTCTATCCCCCACTTTGCATTCTAATGCTATATTTATGTCTTGGAGATGTGGAAATGAGCAATATGATGGATGGATGCAGCTTGCCTGGGTTTTCTACCACCATTTCCCTTGGGGCATTCCAGCTGCTGGCAGAGAGCACCATCCCATAAGATGGTATCTTTTGCAAACTTGACAGCTAACAGACAACCTCTTTCTCTCTCTGTATATTTCCCAGAAGAAGAGTAAGCTTAATCTGTTTTTCTCCTACCCCTGGCATACCTCATGATTGTCTTTCTGACTTCAGTTGTTTTGAATAAATGCCATAAATACTTTCCATAAATAAAAATGGTAAGAGTGGGAAACAGAAATGGAGCTGGTATTTCATACTCTTGTGATGTTGATAGATTCTAATTTGGAACTGACATGAGATGTAATTGCTCATTGAGCCACTCAGTTGCCCTTTAAGGCACATTCTGCCTTGTTTTGTTAATGAGCTGTGTGGTTACATTCACCCAGCAGTAGATCTCTGATGTGCCAGGCACTTCATGCATTTCAATTTTTAAAAATTGTTGTAAGAAGTCTGCCATCTTAAATGTATCTACTAGAATCAGCTGCAGTATAGAGTTTATGAAAATAAATTGGTCCAAGGAATCCAAGTGACAAAGTATTTATATATACCTTGTGTAAAGAATTTATTTAAGAGCTAGTTTGGTGTAGTGGTTAAGGCATCAGGATAGGAACTGGGAGATCGAGAGTTCTAGTCCCGCCTTAGGCACAAAGCCAGTTGGGTGACCTTGAGTCTGTCACTCTCTCTCACCCCTACAAAGCAGTCAATGGCAAGGCACTTCTGAAATCTTGCCAAGAAACCTGCAGGGACTAGTCCAGGCAATCACCAGGAGTCAACACTGACTCGAAGGCACCCCCTCACCGCTACAAAAAGCATTTCTTTGGAAGCTGAATTGCTTTTTCACAGTCTCTCATGTGACAAAAAGAGAGCTGTACTGGATTCCCACTGATTATGCACTTTGTTATGCAGTAAAGTATAAAGGTCTATGCCTTATATAGAAAATTAGAAAGGTGAAATAATTGCTTCAAATGGATATTAGTCTATTGTCATGACATATACATTTGAGAGATTATGGGACACACTTCTGAAGGTGACTTAGACTGGGGTTGGGACCTGATCCTAACCTTCTGAAGACCTGGATACTGCCAGCTATTTGGTATTGATCTTGTGTCCATTTTAAGTTCAGACCAATCATATAGGAACAGAGATTGGTTGTTGATCTGTTGTCTGTCACCAGTTTAGACTGTATCAACAAAAAAACAAAAACAAAAAGAGGAAACTTTTCATGGGTAAAGCATACAGAAAAAGACATCAATCAAACAAGCAGCTCCTACACAATAAAAAAGAATTTAATGTTCTCTCCCCTAATTCTACATTGGTTATTAACTTTTAGTAAAATATAAGATTTTTTTAGGATGCTGAAATACGATATATTCCTTTTTTGAAAACAATACTGTTTGTGGGAGGGATTTATTCTTTTCTTTTCCCTCTTGAACAGTCTGGCCTGGGGGATGGGGGGAAACAGGAAGAGTCACTTGCTGGTGTGCTCTGAATTTTGGCAGGAAGGATCCAGGGTTGAAAGGACAATGTGTGTGAAACAGCATCTCTTTTATTTCTTGAAATGTGATCAGGTATCTATTCTCAGAACAGGGTGAGATTAGTGGTCATCTTAATAGCTATAAAATACATAGAAATAGGTTTGTTTGTTTCAATACATCAATAGTTGAGTGGGAAACTGGTAACACTTAATGATACATTACCAATGTGCATGTACAAATAGGTGCTCAGACATAACAGATTATATCCCATTACCTGCTTTAGGTTGTAACACCTGGCCAATTGAGTTTGGGCTTAGAAACTAAGCAGGGTCTGGCCTAGCCAGTAATTGGATAGACATCTGCATGAATTCCCAGGGTTGGAGGCTGGACTGGGACACCAACAAGTATCTTGGAAGAAAGTAGCATCAAACCATTTTTGTATTTGTAAAGTCACCAGAAGTCAAGCCTGACTCCAAAGAGGCCTTTCTTAACCAGTTAATTCCTTCCCACTGACCATAAACATCTTCAGACTCTGCTTGCAAAACAGACTCTGCTTGTGACTCTCCTGAGCAGATTTGGGGAGGATGAAGGGGAGGCATGGGGAGGTAAAAAGTCCTTTTGCACAAATGGTAATCCAGCTACAGGCTGTTGGATTTTATCCCAATTATGGTACTTTAAACTGACTAGAAGAATGCATTATCATCATCATCATCATCATCATCACCACCACCACCACCACCACTGCTGCTTTCCCTAGACTATGCTAATGTGCAGAAGCTTGTCACAGGGATCAGGAATTTTTCTCTATTCAGTACAATTGCAGTCATACGTATATATTCTTTGCAAAGTTTGGATAGGCAGTGGATGGGCCTATTCAGTTCTTGCAGCTGCACATAAATGATTTGCAAAAGAGAGCCATTCACCCCAAGGAATTGACATTTTACACTGTTTAAAATTGTCCCCCAATGTGGTATTTATGCAGCGTGCAGCAGGACTTCAAAGCCTCAAGGATAAGGCTGGCCAGATGATGATTTAGGTATTACTTGGGTAAGAGATGCTCTGCACAGAATGAGTTGATGGGATCTTCTGACCAGCTAGGCTGAATGTTGAAAGGGATGCTGTATTTTTCACTGCTTGAGCATATAAAAAGTAAAGTCTGTTTGTGAAGAGTTTGATTTCTTGTGACTTCATGGCCACGGCCACTTAGTTTTCTTGTCAACAATATAAAAGTGCTTTGCCACTGCAATTTTCGAGGATGTATTTCAACTTTCTAATATAGCCAATCTTTCTTAGTATTTCTGGAAGTCTCCCATCCAACTACTAACCAGCATGACCCTGCTTCAATTTTTAGACCAGACAAGGTCAGCTGATGCCACACCTGCTAAGATCTGTTTTCATATAAAAGCTGTCTTCAAATTATCGGCTAGACAAATATTTATATTACAGTATTTTAAAAAAAATCTTCCATGTTGGTAAGAGAAGGTTATATTTTACCTTGCTTTGCAAGGCTAGTTCATGGAGTTCAAATTTGATTTTTGTATATGTCAACATGCCAAAATAATAATCACTCCATGTTTAAAGACATTTGCTCTTTCTTTAAATAAACTGAAAACTACAAGACTATTCTGGCCATTCTGCTGATTGCTTATTTTAAGAAAATAATAGTAGCCAATGTTGTTTTATTTGGTTTGTCAGAAGTTGACTTGCCTCTGAAGAAGGATGGCTTCACATCAGAAGGGACCACACTGGAAGCCTTGTTGCGTGGAGAAGGGCTTGAAAAGAAGATAGATACTAAAGAGGAGGATACTCTACAAGAAATCCAGGTAATCTCCTCGAATATTCAGATCATAAACTGTAGAGCAGTATGTTCATGTGTAAGTATGCTAATTAAGCATTATTTCCAGTTTGCATGTGTTGTGTGTAATAAGACTGCCTGGAATCCAGATGGACTGAAGTGGTGAATAAATAAATAGTTTAGA